AACGCACAGCAATAAGATAAAAGTTAGTTTTATTCACAACCATTTGTTTTACTCTCCAAGCAGAGGTTGTGGGGGAATGATCGTTACCTTTTTATATATGGCCGTTTTTTTCGTCGCTACCCCCACCCGTCGGTGGCTGCCGACCTTCTCTGGCTAATGGATACTGCCTGGCCAATTTGATACTGTCTTTTTGCCACCGAGAGGGATCAGCTTGGAGATTAATTTGTTTAACAACAGCAGACGTTTCGATGACCGTCTGCCATCTTCGTCAAGGCTAATATGACTGGTTTACTGTGCACTGGAGCTAACTGTGAGACAGCATTGTTAAACTAACACCTGGCTTCAGAGCAAAGTTAACCAGACATATTTAGCCCTGATGAAGATGACAGGCGGCCATCGAAACGTCGTCTCGTGTTAAAGAAATGGCTTCGAATAGAGGAACATCCAATCATTCGCCACCCCATGAAATTATTTACGAAAGAATAACAATAGTATATTTTGAATGTGTAATTAAGTAGGATGATATTTTATTTGATATTTCAACAGCGAATTGGATCGCAGGAAGTATACACAGAAACACCAATGGAAGATCACGTACACAAGCTCGATATCGATAAACAAACAACGCTCTGTGTCGGTTTGAAGTAAAGGTTTCCACTTGTAGATTGTCATATGCATCTGGAACAGTGCTATCAATATGTAGCCTGCCACATGCTACCTCCTACCTGTCTACACTCCACCTGCTGCGACAGACCCCGCTGGAAGTAACCAACCAGGAGCAGGGAGACAGCGACTCGCCACATGTTGTCTCCCCGATGTAGCAGCTTCAGTGTTACACTCCCTGTAATGTAGCAAACTGCGCGATACGGCTACAGACCTTTACGCCCCGCGAAGCGGACGTCGAACTTTGAGCTGCCTTGAGGAAAACATGTGACGACATATATCAAAGGCCGGTGCAATGACCGGGAAGGGGGTGTAGAGGTAGACTTAACCAGAATGGAGCTCCTTTGCAGTTGAAGTTAAATCCCCCCCCCCCACTACCATTATCATGGTGGGGTCGTGTGGCGTAGTGGCAGAGTGCGTGACTCGGGACCTAGAGGTCCCGGGTTCGAGTCCTGACATGCCACCGATCTTGTGCCCTTGGGAAAGGCACAGTACACGACTTTCCTCACTTAACTAAGGTGAAAATGAAAATTGTCTTGTCCTGTATTTGTCCCCTGTGTTGGCGGCGACATTAATATAAGTTGAAAAAAACTTGGTGATTACATGTTGGAATAATAAAAAACATTAACCATGTCCGTTCCTACTGCCCTTGGGCCACACAGTCGTCCAATCACTACAGTAGGGGGCTAGTCCACTGGTAGTGGTGTGTATTTAACTCCCATACGTGTGTTTGCTGTTTAGGACGTTGTCACAAAGGTTAACACCATTCAGCGAAGGTATGAGATCGTCGAACTCTTGTTAACACATCCGCTTGTTTTAGAAGCACTTTCGAGTGAAAGCCTGAAAAGGCTCAGGATAATTTCCTAATGTACTAAGTGATATGTACATATATATCTATTTTTAACTGTAGCGGATTTAGAAGGAGGGCTAGCTTGGACACTGACCTGTCCAGCTTAGGAGTAAGCAGGTAGCCGGGCGACTCAAATCGCCTTTTAAAAGCTACTCTCCAAGCAGAGGTTGTGGGGGAATGATCGTTAGCTTTTTATATATGGCCCGTTTTTTGTCACTACCCCCACCAACCCTTGGGTCGCGCATGGACCCTCTCTGGCCAATTGGATACTGCCTGGCCAATTTGATACTCTGCATTATTATCTGAGATTATTTAAAAGCAATATATTACGGGCCCGTATACCTCACTAGATTGTACCACTACATCAAAGACTTGTGCTAGCTGTAGCCCTTGTTGTTTTAGTTATTAGGATTTATTCTATACTTTTGTCTGTATGATGTTCAACATACATTGTACTATATATTGTCGTGCAATAAAGTTCTATCATGAAAATGATTAGCACATGGATGAAATCCTTAGAGAAAAACCGGATAAATCCCACTCAAGTATTGTGTATGTGCGTTGAGGAGGCTAGGGCGGACGTTGTCCAATAGTGCGGCAAAAGCACGACAAGCCTTTTTACCACATGGCGAGGTCCCACGATTTCCTAAATACTAGGGGAGCACTTGGGTACCCATCATGTGTCTATTCCATCTGTTCAACTAGACACAGAATTGTAAATATTATCTCCAAGCAGATCGTTTGGTGGCTGCAAAGACAGCATGAAATTGGCCAAACCTAAGCCCAAACCTCTGCTTGGAGAGTAACTATGTTTACCGTAGGAAAACATTTTGTTTTAGCTCAGTTTCTTCCTCTTCCTCTCCAAACATGACAAAGTGCAACGATAAATTAATGCGGAACTATGCAACACTCAACGTGGCATACAGATATCTGAAATTCTGAAATTGCATTGGATGCCTTTAAGCTCTCCCGTGTCCTTGTATTCATGAGGTTACAAAAATGACTCGCTGTTTGAATCGTCCAATTACACTCCACGACTGATTCACCGACCACACTTGGCGTCGCATTAGGGCAGGCCGGCTACGATTAACGCTGAATCAAAATAGCTCAAAATAGAAGTGTAATCATAGCAATCTAGTTTCTCTTTCACAGGTAGGCTCTCTTTTTACATCACATCAAGCTACCTACCAAATATGTTATGAATAAATTCAAAGACTTTTTCCATTGCGCATGCGCTCGGAACACATCAACGCATGCGCTCACTGCCAAAAAAGTCACCCGTGGCGCAAACCATTACATCTTGCATGCAACCACGTAAAAGGCCCCGTTCCACTCTGTGCAGAGCATAGGGGTGGTGCCCGTCTCCATTTCCGTAGCCCTTGGGCCACGTAGTTGTTCAAGTCACTATACAGCAGGGGCTAGCGCGCTGCTAGCGTTGTGTGTTCAACCACGTACCTTACCTTACCTTACCTGTGCCCTTGGAGCATAGGCCACCGACGATCCACCTCCATCCAGCTCGGTTCTGGGCGTCCCTCTTAACGTTCTCCCAGCAGCGCGTTCCCAGTTCAGACAGCTCCCTCGCAGTATCTCGCCTCCAGGAATTTCTGGGAGGTCCCTCCTTCTTTTACCTCTGGGATTACCTTACCTTACCTTACCTTACCTTACCTTACCTTACCTTACCTTACCTTACCTTACCTTACCTTACCTTACCTTACCGTGTAAGGCATAGGCCACCGACGATCCTCCTCCATCCAGCTCGGTTTTGGGGTTCCCTCTCAACGTCCTCCCTTCGCATTCCCAGGTCAGACAGCTCCCTCTCAGTGTCTGGCCTCCAGGAGTTTCTGGGACGGCCCCTCCTTCTTTTACCTCTGGGGTTACCTTACCTTACCGTGTGGAGCATAGGCCACCGACGATTTCCCTCCATCCTGCAGCTCGGTTCTGGGCTTCCCTCTCAACATCCTCCCTGCGCTTTCCCAGTTCAGACATCTCCCTCTCAGTGTCTCGCCTCCAAGGGGTTTCTGGAACGCCCCTCCTTCACAATTAACCACGTACGCCAGTGATAATTATCTAACCCACGATGGTTGCTTACGGCACCTACGCGCTACTGTGGTTGTGGTGGACGGCGTGCCTGTGTCCGGTGAGCGGGCGAGACTTCAAGCTGGGCCTGCTGATACCCCAGGGCCGGGCGCACCGCCTGTACGGCTGGGAAACTACGGCGGCTGCCACGTCCATCGCCATAGACACGGTCATGCGGGACCCCAGCCTGCTGCCCGGACACACGCTCAGGTATGGGTTAACAAGTCTTACGATCTGTATCGTACGATCTGTGTCTTTATCGGTATCGGTATCTGTATGTGTCTGTGTTTGTATCTGCTACGTCCATAGGCATCGACACAGTCATGTAGGACCTCAGTCTGCTGAACGGGTACACGCTCAGGTATGGTTTATAACGTTAAAGAAGGATTCGGTCACATACATCGTGCGATCTGTATGTTGTATGTGTGTCTGTATCTACACTGGATACCTTTAAGTTACCTGTATGGCCTATGTTACAATTTACAGTCGTCATGTAGCTTGTTTTGGGACGATTTTAAACACTTGACGAAAATGTGTTAAGAAATGGCAGTAAGTGTCAATATCAGACAGATTTCCTCATACATGACATCTCCTTATTTTGCCACCTTCAGAAATTAAACTGGATGCCTTTAATCTGTATACATGACGGACGTGTCTTTCACTTTACTTAATATTTATACAGGATAATGCAGTCAAGTCGTTTTGGCTTGTTTTGGCAGACAACTCTGATATACATTAAAAACGTAATATAATAACAAACATATGCTATTATACAAACAAGTACATTTTAACATATCATGCATCTTTTAAACCTTCGAGAAGAGGAGACCTACTCAAGTACAAGTAAGTAAGTAGTAAGCTAGCGACGTTTAAATGTCCTGAACTCAGTGTTTTCTGTTCAAGAGGAAGATTCTTCCACTGCTGCCTCGCGCTAGAACTTCAATTATACAAGCTTCAGCACAAGCTGAGGCCGCCGGCTGTGCTAACAGCTTCTCATGTCGTGTTTGAGTGGGGGAAACGTTATCATAATTACACGTGCGTGCGTCACCACGCTGGGAGAACTGTCATCACACTGTGCTGCATGCTGTAAACATCTGTCCTCCTCGAGTCAAATAAAATAATAAACAAAAAATATTGTTTGTATTCATATTCCGGGCTGTCAAATACTGATGTGGACCGTTGTTGTTCTCCTTGCCGCAAAAGAGGTTGATGGCATTTTGTTTATCATTTTCTTACAAGTGCATTTATATGAACAGGTTATACAGAAAGCGTTAAAGGGCAATTGAATGTTCTAAAATCTCTTCTGACGAATTTTCACATGGAACTGAGGATTGGGACATGACGTTGCGTTGCAAAGGAAAACAAAATATCGTTGCTAGTACAACGAAATTTATATGAATTGATTCCCTCTTATTTTCCTTCATTATCCATCATTTTATTTCATTTTATCAATTGAGGGACGGAAGTATTTTTTGGGTGGCGCCCACTAGTATGGTAGGTTTCTTTGGGTTCCGGTGTGAGTGGGCGAAGATTAAGATTCAATTGATTGAAATTTACAAGCTAGACTCAATCAACATGTTAACAGGCGTTAGGTACTTAGGAGAAATTGTTAATCTCTTTCTGCTGGTGAATTAATGGGATAGCAGGGGTGCTTTCCATATAGGCTGTTTAGAATTCCATACATACTGTTAGAGTGTTGTAACTATTGGTGGTGTAATGGGACAGAATTTCCTACCTATAGCTGTCCCATGTAAATGTAGTTAGTACGTTTTTTTAAAAGAAAATGATTTTCAGTACTTAATAAATGGGATGAATAACCAGCACTGTTTCTTACAGCGTCGTGTGGAGGGACTCCAGCTGTAACTCTAAAGTGGCGGCGGGAGCTGCAGTCGAGCTGAAAGTCCAGGAAGACGTAGATGTTCTTTTAGCGCCACCGTGCGCCGAAGGTAAGAACTGCAAGCTCAGAAATGTGGCATCTATATAGACGTAGACGTTGAAAATCTATTTTCTTTGAAAGTGCAAGAAATCTTAAATTCGGGAGGCCAAATTCGTGAATGCGCGACAGAGGCTTAAGCTTAAAGACTCTTCAGTAACGCCCCCCTCCCACCCCGTCAGCCTGTATCCAGTCTAGCCAGCTGGCTGCCTATTGGAACATGCCGACCATCTCATGGTTACCGGTGGACCCGCAGCTGGAAAACAAGGCTAATCATCGGTTTACAGAGACTGCAGGGTTCTAGCTACATGTATAAGTCCTGATGGTGGAAAAGAATGGCTGGAGGTTGTTGTCAGTGAGCAGGCTGACCACGTTTTCTGGGAGACTGTTCCAGATGTGTATGAAAGTTCTGCTGGTGGTGTGAGTTCTAGAGACTTGTACAGTGAGGGCATGTTTTCCAGTGGAGAGACTGTTGCGAGTACTTTTAGGGATCATTTCTATAGTATGTGACCGCCCTATAGTGTGATATGCTTATCTGGCGGCGGTGGCACGGTGATCGTACTGTCCACCTCTTCCAAGGTAGAGCGGTTTATCTATCGTTTTGTGCGCCCCTCTTTAGGGGCTACTATTTTTTGTTTGGTTTGGTCTACCATCAAAAACAGACTGTTGCGAGTAGTCTGTTGCGTTTGATTTTGTATTTTGTTGGGGAAGCATCTCTTTCTTCTTTCATCTTTTTCAGCCTGTATCCAGTCTAGCCAGTTGGCGGCCTACTGGAACATGCCGACCATCTCCTGGTTACCGGTGGACCCGCAGCTTGAGAACAAGGCCCTGCTGAAGACCCTCGCCAGGACATTCGTGCCCTCCAACAAGTTCGGCGTGGCGGTGGTGGAACTGCTCAAGCTGTGGTGAGAGACTGGGTTTGTTTATTTGAATATTAAAAAAAAACAACAACAAAAAAACTCAACTAGCTACGGGCCAATGGTACAGCGTGTATACAAGTGCAAGGGAGGGTAAAACATGTGTAAAGCATACTATTATATTAGTTGTAGATAGAACATAGCGTAGTTTCCCTATTACTTATTTGCACTACTAAATTGTAGCTAACTTACGCAAAACATTCCTCTATCATTGACACCGTTACGTGTTGCCCTCCCTCCATTTAGGGAATTTCTTCTTATACAACCGGTAGTCTTTCTCACCTGCTTACGTTTCGATGTCTGTCAGACATCACGTACAGACAAAATTCCATGGAAAAGATAGAACTGCTCGACTCGCTTTGCCATTTCCCCCCTCTCAGCAAGGCCAGACCAAAGTGATCCCGAGCCGCTTTTGCTCACTGAAGAGCTACTATTCCACTGGTCCTGACGGAGAAGACGGACGCTATGTACATGTGCAGCATTTACAGGTTTACTGTACCAGGAAAATTAATTACCCTAGCTCTTTTCGACACGTATAATGAACAGTGACCACAGCTATTCTAGGGACTGCAACCCTTTCCAGTAGCGTGCATGCCGGGTTATCGAGAACAGCCGGGATTCGAACTCCCAACCTCTTAGAAGGGTGCTGCTGCGTTTTTTGGTGTCCTGTGTGTGTCCTCTGGTGGCTAAATAGTCAGTATCGCAGTTCTTCCCCTCCCCCTCCAGGTCTTGGAAAAGGCTCGGCATTTTCTCTGACTCCGGTTTCCTGTGTAAGTCCTCCACCGAGTCCCTGAAGCAGGTCTAACAAGTGGAAAAACTTGAGTGTGTCGTCACAATGTCTTATTATAAATGTTGGCATAGAAGAAATCTCAGTATTGCTGTTACCACTCCTCCCCTCCCTTCCAGGTCTTGGAAAAGGCTCGGCATCTTCTCGGATTCCGGCTTCCTGTGTAAGTCGTCCACCGAGTCCCTGAAGCAGTACCTCGCCGCGAACAACGTGACCCTGGCGGGGGAGTACTCCTACGACATCAAGTACCTGGACCCGCAACTCATCTCCGAGAAGCTCAGGATCCTCAAGCAGAACGCCAGGAGTGAGTATTATTATATATATGTATATATTCGACAAAAAATGTAAAAAATTATCAAAGGACACTTTTAAATATATCATATCATGTACAAATATAGACGTCATCAATGAAGTGTGTAAGTATATTTCAAAATGTTTCAAAAAGAGAGAAGAAGCCATTAGAACTAAGATCGATACCACTTTATTTTAGCATTGTATACCTTAGACCTGATGTTAGCCTTTCTTTATTACTATTGTTGTAGTACTCTCTAGTACATTGTATTTTGTACATCCGTGCATTTATCCCCCCGGGGAATGAACATGCAATAAAGTTTCAATCATTACGTTACTTAATAATCATTTGTACTTATCTAATAGTAATCATTATTTTATATTTTTAATAGTCGTACTATTTACCAATTTTCTATTATAATGTATAATTATCATTCAATTTTTCTTGTTGGGGGAAGGTCACGGACAGGCCATGACGGCCTTTTATCTTCCTCCCGCATCTCTCTTTTGTTTATGATTATGATATGTTTATTTTATTTCTTTGATTACATGCAAATAAACAAACGAACAGACAGGAGTGAGTACCGAAAGTATATAAAGAATACAACATGGGGTATTCCGTATCGCCCGCTATATCGGCCCGACCACGAGTTCGGCCAAGGGCGATCCGACTCGCGGGAGGGCCGGGATCGAGGGTGATACACCGTGTTGTATTTTATTTATATCATACCCACCCAGGAAAACTAGACACAGACTGTATGATATAACGAGTATGATATAACGCTGGTTATTACACGGGCCGGAACACCTGTATCGAATGTTCTCGCGGCCCAGGTATGACATAAATATGTTTACCTTCGCATGAATGTGTATGAGTAAGAATTAATAGAACAGTACTTTGTAAGGCTAGACCATGTGGAGGTGAACATTATGCATCTTCTTTGCAAATGTGGCCTTTTCTAGTTTTTAACGAGTTTGCTGAGTGCAAAACCACAAGGGCCACTTATGGGCACCAAACTAACGCCCACTGTGAAGTAGCAACTCTTCTCCCTAAGTCAGAAACATCAAGCGAAAGTTTGGCTAACTGACTCAACAGACGAAACAGGGCTTGCGAAGGCTACTCGGGAAATTCCTTACCCCATTTTAGGCCGGCTTTTGGGTGACTGAGTTCAGGGTTTGTGTATCTGTTACCTAGGTGGGTTTCAGGTTTTTTGGATGCTGCACGAGGAACTGGCTATTTTTTTGTAATGAGTGAGAGCTGACTATTGTTCACAAACGGACGAACATCCAATGTTATGATATCAATGGGTCTATTATTAACTCTCTCTATATGCTTTATCGACGACTGAAAACTCTAGCTACAAGCCAATGGTCAATATAAGCACCTTACCGTGGTACATGTCCGGCAGGCGATATCCTAACCTAATCCTTTGCCATCCGATTTCATGTAAGCCATACCCTTCAGTGGCTTTCAAGCTATTCTGGTGGTCAAAGCTGTCTTCAAATGACTTGACGTTAAATCTTTTTAGCTTTTAAGAATGGCTGTTTTTCAGCACCAAGGACAGGTATGCTTGTCCGTGTGTGGATGGTGTTCAGCACCAAGGACAGGTGTGTTTGCCTGTATGTGGATGGAGTTCAGCACCAAGGACATGTGTGTTTGCCTGTGTGTGGATAGTGTTCAGCACCAAGGACATGTGTGTTTGCCTGTGTGTGGATGGTGTTAAGCACCAAGGACAGGTGTGTTTGCCTGTGTGTGGATGGTGTTCAGCACCAAGGACAGGTATGTTTGCCTGTGTGTGGATGGTGTTCAGCACCAAGGACAGGTGTGTTTGCCTGTGTGTGGATGGTGTTCAGCACCAAGGACAGGTATGTTTGCCTGTGTGTGGATGGTGTTCAGTACCAAGGACAGGTATGTTTTCTATGTATGGATGGTGTTCAGCACCAAGGACAGGTGTGTTTGCCTGTGTGAGGATGGTGTCAGCACCAAGGATAGGCTGCATAAAAGTTTACACATATGATACATTTTTGTGACACCCTTTATCATAACTAAGTGTTCTGATCACAACTTTTCTTCCATCCAGTCATCTACATGTGCCACCCCTCCATACCAGTGGAACGGTCCATCCTCCTACAGGCCCATGAACTTGAGATGACGTCAGGCGATTACGTCCTCATCAATGCCAAGTTGTCTATCGAGGTCAAAGTTGACCAACCCTGGAGCAGTGACGACGGGCGAAACGCAGAGGCTATCAAGGCGTATGAGTCTGTGCTGGAGGTGTGTTCCTATCAAGTAGACTTCATATCAGCATGAAGTTCATGAGTTGGTAAATACATAATGAGAATTAAACTGTTCTCCAACTCAAGAAATTTGACTCACAATGAATTTTCGTCCAAATCACCCAGTCCTCTTCAGTTTTACTATGCGTAACGTACATCATGTTAATGCGCCACTTACGTTCATATTCCTGCAGTAATTCTCAGAATGACGTGGGTGGGGAAATTCCATAACTACAGACAAAAAAATGCCATACGATGGAAGTTAGGTCCCAACAGAACGGAGTTGGCGAGAAGTCTGTTTGCAGGATATGCAAGTGGCAAGAAATCCACTGAATAAAATTCACGAAATAAGCTAACAAGGGTATGCAATGTAGGATTTCTTGTTCCAAATTTTGTTCAATGTCTTATTGATCATTAGGGAGATCCAACCCGCGGGAGAGCCGGGACCGAAGGTAATGCCGAATTAAGGCTAGTTGTTACAAGGACTGGAACACCGGTATCGAACATTATCGCGGCCCAGGCATGACATAAATATGTATGTATGCATGTCCACAGATCGGGATAAAGTTTCCTAACGATCCTGCAGCCCAGCGAGTTCGGGACGACATTCCCAAGATAATGGCCCAGGAGCCCTGGAACTATCGCCTCGGCCTGTCTCTTGGGCTAAAGGTAGTACTTCTTATTGTCGTGAGGTTTACAACTTTTAAAAGGCTTTCAACGACATCATACATGAAAAAAAACATCGACTAAAATAGCTGTTTTTGTGCTGTGTTTTCTGAATCTGTTAAAATGATATCGATAGACGCTTGTGCCTTTGAGCTGGACAGATTCACTTGGCGATTGTCATGTATGCGGTTTATTTTGCACCTAGTGTACGACTTATCACTGATCCCAGTCTATGATTTCTATTCAAAGAATTCTGTTTTGTAGATACCTCAGCTTTTTCCGTTTGAGAGCGCATCTGTAACTTTACACATGTGCATTGCAATGTAAACCAGTCAGAATTGCTCTGAGGAATGTGACAGACGGTCACCGAAACGTCGGCTGAGTAAACCTCTTGTAAAAGGAGTCTCTTTTGTCAAGTTTCAAGTTTATTTATTTCAATGACTTACCAACCTGATGAAATTTTTCAGGGAGGATTTGCGGCCCTGTACCTGCACGACGCTGTTCTGCTGTACGCCGTTGCGCTGAACGCGACCCTCGCGGCTGGGGAGGACCCGCGGGACGGGGGGAAGATCTTACAGCACATGAAGGGGACTATGTTCAAGGGTAAGTATTAGGTGTGGCGTCGGGTGGCGTAGTGGTAGAGCGTTCGACTATGAACAGGGAGACCCAGGTTCGATCCAGAGTCGTACCCGGGACATGTCTGAACATGCGCCCCGACGTTGTGCCCTTGGGAAAGGCACTTTACACAAGTCTCCCTAAGTCTCTAACAAATTTTAGCACATGAGACTCAAGTCTGATGTAGAGTTTGCAGTCGTCGAAAAGGCTACTAAGGAGACCTTCACGTGGTCTTCCTTGTCTTGGTCTGGGTCTGAGGTTTTTTGCTGAACGCGACGCTGAGGACCTTTTGTAGGGGTTAGCTTAGATGTCTAAAGATGTAATGAATAAAAATGTTGTTTCCCCTAGGCACGTCAGGGTACGTGACTATGGACGGCCGTGCGGACCGGGAGCCAGAGTTCATGGTGTGGGACATGGCGCCTAACGGCAAGTTCGAGGTGGTCGCTGAGTACGGCGTGGCGGTCAGCGGGCAGAGGGTAAGTGCCAGGCCATGTTCTGGACTGCACGTCAGGAACGTACTGCAACTGGGCAAAAACAGGATATGGAAACCACATCTCCATACCGAAGTTCAGAACTGAAAGACTAAGGAAATCTTTTCTGTTTCAGGCAATAAGCCTCAGTAACCATTTGTAAATAGTCCGCCTCTGTTTTAATGGACCTGACCTACAGAATTTTAAATCTATTTAATTTTAATCGTCAATGTTGTGCTTTTTAATGTGTATCTCTTTCAAGCTTTTTTAACATGTAATCACTAGTGCAATTCAGCCAACAATGCATATTGGCTGCCAATCAATGTGAATAAACAGTTTCAGTTTCATTTTAAGGGTTTTCGCTGTATGTTTGGTCAACGTTGCATCAGAATAATTTTGAATGTGGCAGACGATATCTTTTCCGACACAATACTTGGAATACAGATGGGATGTTAACCTTATATGCGCGTATACAGTCTTATATGAGACGTTCTGCCGAAGTGCTATGCACAATACATTACGGGTTTCGCTCAGGTGTAGTACCTTCTGACGATGTGCTGTCCTGGGCTAGGTAGAACGTAGACTACAGCTGGACAGCGCAAATCTACGTTTTTAGGTCGGCTTTTTATAGTTTATAGAAATGACAAGAAAATTTACTTTTTGTATCGTCCTAAGTTACATATTGCAACTTAAGCAATGGGTCGCTTGTATAGGGATCGTCGGAAGGGATTTTGTACCTCTTTGTGCTCAGTATATCCTGTTGAGCCAAGTGCCTCAGAGCCCCAGACCTTGTGGTAGGGAGACCTTGTACAATAAGAGATGTGCGTGTGCCAGGTCTAACCCCGTGTTTTATGTATCACCACTCAGTCTGGACTAAGCGTGCAGAAGGTAACTGGACAGTTGATGGTATGTATGGCAAATCAAGCCGAACAGTGGGGTTGTGTGGCGTACCGGTAGCGTGTTCGGCCCAGAACCGAGAGGTTCAGGGTTCGAATCCTACCTTGTCACCGATCTTGTGCCCTTGGGAAATGCACTTTACACGACTTTCCTCACTTCACTCAGGTGAAAATGAGTACCTAGGTTTGTTAGTGACGTCCCTCAGATAGGACGTGAAATTAAGGACCCAAACAAACAAACAAACAAACAAACAAACAAACAAGCAAACAAACAAGCAAACAAAGAAACAAGCAGTGGATCACCACAACTTGGCACCCCATAACGCTACACCTCGAAAAAAATGTCGCTGTGGTGAAAACCCCAGGAAAAGCGACGAACCTCGTCTCCTTTTTAAAACCAATAATACTCGTACCATCTTATTATTTATTTATTGGTTTGGCCGTTAAACCCTCACAGCCAGGGCAGCTCAACTAGCCAGTGGCTTGCCAGTGCTGACAAGACATGACAAAACATTACAGCAACATACAAGGTGGCCTAACAATCTACAAAGCATCACATTATTCTATAAGGCAATACTTCACCTTATCTGTTCCCTCAAAAACTAATTGAAAAGATATTTATAAGCCAAAATAATTGTGGATCTAAATAAAACTTTCAAATTCGTCCCGTCAATTTTAGGATACCCAGGGCCTTAAATATAATAGGAGTGTTTTCTCGCAGTCTAAGTGCTCATGTATTTTGTTGTTGTGTGTGTGAACAGAGGATGGTGCAGCTGAGAGCAGTGGACTGGGGCAATGGGGAGACCACACCACCGGCGGACGCACCCAAATGTGGCTTCAAAGGCGAGCTCTGCGCGCCAAAGACACAAGGTACGTAAGCAATATATCATAACGACTTAGTTAGGCCACACCGGCTTAATTTTATGGATGAAATTCTCTGAAAATCCCCAAACTAGTGCGCGCGGACGAATTAAAAGAAAAAATTACGGCCAAGAATAAAAATGCTACCACGGAAATACAAAGCTGGCAGTACAAGCCGGCACATGCCTTTTTGCGGAATTTATGAATCGGCACTGTACGTATGTACTGAGTTGAGTCGCGGAACGTACTGCGCCTGCACAAAATCCTGATTTTTCACAGTTTTGTTGGACGTTTGGTCAACGTTGCAGCAGAGTTTTGCCTGTTGCAGACGATATATTTTCTTACATAACATTTTGAAACTACTGACGGGATGTTGACTTTATATGTGCGAATACGACCTGATATGAGACGTTCTGCCGAAGTGCTATGCACCATACATTACGGGTTTAGTAACAGGTGCAGTACGTTCTTCCGACTTAAGTCTTCACAGTTACAGGGAATAGTATCTACAATGCGGTCCCAAGCGTCTTTTTGCCTGCTCTTTACGAAATAAGTTTCCGTTTTTAGGACGGGGTAGGATCACCGTCATCGTATGTATAGTGGCTGGCCTCCTACTGGTCGTCGGAGGAATTGCAGCGTATTATCAACGGTGAGATGACCTGAATATACCTAGGAATAATTTGAATGAAGACCGTTATTGTACAGTTTTGTCCCACTGTGCTAAGCACAGGTCTCATGTTAACAGTCTTATACAATGTATATAGATGTAGATATAAGCGTCTAGTACTTCCCGCTTCCTCTCGCCTCTTGGTAATTGTGTAAATGTACCCCCTTGCTCATAGCTATCAGCATTGAAGAGTCTCCAAAGCTAAAACGTATTCTTGATACCACTGAACACTAGAACTGTTATGCTGGCTATGATGCATTTTAGAGCTGGGGTTCAACTTTATTTGCTCATCATTTAACAAATGTACAACAGCAGGGGGAGCAGAAGCGCATCCCCCTGAATTAGGTACAATTTGTCACATCATTTGAAGCATTAAACAGCATTCACATAGAAGAAATAATACATATAAACAACCATATATACAAAAGCTAAAGGAGGTAAAACCAAACTACTTGGTCTTTTCTCTCACTCTCAGTCCAGGGTTCCTGAGGAATAACCCATCGCTTGAACCAACAAAGAGACTCCTCACCTAGCTTTTGGGGCTATTTCAAAAGCTTTAAGTAATAAATTGAAATGATGACGAAAATGTGCTAATAAATGACAGTAAACGTCAATAACAGACAGATTCCTTATACAGAATGTTGTATTTGCTGCCCCAAACTTGCATTAAAACAGGAAGAAGAAATTCGAGGCCGACCTGAGCAGCATGTCGTGGAGGATGAACTTCGAGGATATCGACTTTTCTGCCGCCACGAAACAACTCATGAGTCAGGTGAGATTGTTTAAAACCACTGCATTATACAACGAAGAAACATAGCTTAGAAAAAATGAGGCACATAGAATATACAGTCAGAAGATTAAGGATCAGCTGTCACAAACTACATATTGAAATTACGTATTTCCTTATATTTCACCCAAGACTTACGGTATATTTCACCCAAGACTTACGGTATATTTCACCCAAGACTTACGGTATATTTCACCCAAGACTTACGGTATATTTCACCCAAGACTTACGGTATATTTCACCCAAGACTTACGGTATATTTCACCCAAGACTTACGGTATATTTCACCCCAGATGTACGGTATATTCCCCCACAGATTTACGGTATATTTCACCCCAGATTTACGGTATATTTCACCCCAGATTTACGGTATATTTCACCCCAGATTTACGGTATATTTCACCCCAGATTTACGGTGTATTTTACCCCAGATTTACGGTGTATTTTACCCCAGACTTACGGTATATTTTACCCCAAATTTACGGTATATTTCACCCCAGATTTACGGTATATTTCACCCCAGACTTACGGTGCAATTCACCCCAGACTTACGGTGTATATTTCGCCCCAGATGAGCATGAAGAGCAAGGGTACCTCCGGGTCGCGCAGCCAGGGCACGGGAGCGCCGTCCAAGACCACCCCCAGCCTGTACAGTGGCAAAAAGTCCACGCGTGCGCCTCCGCAGTGCGGCCGGTACGAGGGAAACTACATCGCCGTGAAGAACGTGCGCAAACTGCATATCCAGGTAGACAAGGAACAGCTGCTGGAGTTTAAAGAGGTAAGCTTGTTTTTATCTGTTTATTTATTTTAGATTTATTTCTGAACGCATACGTAGTCCCTTCAGCCAAAAGGGGCTGATTTCCAACGGAGCCCATGAAAATGAGGATGCAAAGAACGTAATACAACATAAAATAATTGTATATATACATATATAATTGAAACATCTATAGAAATAATTTCACCATCAATTAACAATAATGACTATACATCACGATCTCTCTCTCTCTCTCCCTCTCTCTCTCTATCTCTCTCTCTCTCTATATATATATATAAGCGTGAATATATTGAACCATTTCCAATCAACAAGGTCTACCGTGGCCTTAATGCCAAACATGAAGCGCATCTACAGGCAGATGACTGTGTTTGTTTGTTTGTTTGTTCTTTGTTCGTTTATTGGTTTATTTGTATCAGCATCAGCATAGTACCCTAAGTTATGTGCACTGTTGCAAGTTGCAAGATGATCGAGAAACAGGTTTGATAATGACTGGACAATACACCGTTTAAACAACAAAAGTTCAAACTGTCCCGAATTGGCATTTGTTTTGTTGCGGTCATGGATTGTTAAGTAAATAACACTCTTGATCAGGCACTCCAGGCCAACCACGAAAACCTCAACCGCTTCATCGGCGCATGCGTGGAAGCGCCCCACATCTGCCTGGTGTACGAATTCTGCCCAAAAGGGAGTTTACAGGTGACGTCATAGTGACGTAGTTATCATAACGTATATATTAATGCAAAGATTACTGAATGGAATGCAAGTTTGTGGTCTTCATACTTCACTTTCGTGATGTTCACTGCACTTCGTTATTAAGAGTACCATTGTGCCTAGTATTACGTAATAGGATGCGTTTTTTGTTATTTAGCCAACTGAAATATGGGGACTTTTACGCAATACTTTAAGATAATACTATGCTTAAAGGTTTCTTGTAGCGGTTTCTTCAACCTATCTATCATTGACATTCCAGGATATTCTGGAAAACGACGATATCAAGTTGGACAACATGTTCAAACTCTCCCTGTTGTCAGACGTAGTGAAGGTACGTTACATTCGTTACAACCTGGGGGGGGGTGAACCTCTAACCACTTGCCTCGTGATTATCATAGTAGAGTACAGTAGGGGCATTGTCATTAGATAGGTTTAAACAATGTTTAGAGATAGATGTTAAAGGGTTAGGTGTAACAGGTTGATCGGTGTAATGTAGCCAGCTGCCGCCGCGCCGCGTGCCTGCGAGGCTGGCCTGTTATATCGGCGCTATACAGATACAGAAGCAGGTGTGTTACGCCGAAAGGCGGTTATACCGGCTATACAGATACAGAAGCAGGTGTGTTACGCCGAAAGGCGGTTATACCGGCTATACAGATACAGATCATGAAAGTTCATCTGTGTTGGTAGTTTGCATATTTTAAGGTAAAACATTTGTTACACTAAAGGTCAATGTTCTTACCTGGAGCTTTCGACCACTGTCACTCTGGTCTTCTTCAGTAGACTGACCCAGTGAGATTTGTCATGTTTCATCGTTTACCAAATACCTTTGAATTAGTGTTGACGTCACACTTCAGAGAAGCCACTAGACAAGTCTCACTGGCATGGGTTATTGATTGTTGGTCCATTTTATAGTCGATATTATGACACGTTGGCATGATTTTGTTTTCTGACTGGCAGAAAAAAGGTGTTTCTAGATATCTATAGTATTTACGAAGCTTTGAATTTCTTTGAATATATTTTCAGGGTATGGAGTACCTCCATAGGTGTGCCGTGGCGTCCCATGGTTCTTTGCGGTCCAACAAGTGTTTGATTGACAACCGGTGGATGGTGAAGATCACGGACTTCGGCATGGCGCGCTTCAAGGCCAACCAGGCCGAGAACCCGGAAGTCGGCGAGCACGAGGAATACATGAGTGAGTTCAAGTTTATTTCATTTTATTCACATAATTAAAACTACACTGTCCCAGTGTATATTGACCCTCTTGGAGCAAAAATGCCCAAAATTCTGACGGAAAATGTTCTCTGGAAGGGCCCTGGGCTGATTTGTAGGGTACCACCCTGAAAATAAAGAACTAACTCATCTTGGCGCTTTTTTTTCTGCAGCTTTAAATGCCCAAAACATGAAATACTGACTCAAATGTGCTAATGTGAAGTAGTGTGTCAATATCAAAAAGTTTCCCTTATTCGGAATATCTCCAGTTCTGCTGCCCTGAAATCCCATTGGATGCCTTTTAGAGCTATCATGGAAGTTCATCTGTGTTGGTTATGTAATCATAGTGATTGGTCATTAATTATCCTGATCAAGGCGAAAGTGGTCGTTTGAAAATTTGATCTCTACATGTGTGATCTTTGTGTTGAAATAAAGTTCAACGTTTAACTAGATTAAAGACCACTGGACAGAAAGCACACAATGTGCTTGTAAGGATCGTTTGCTCATAAAACACAAATAACATATAACAAGCTACAAGTACATGAGCTACTATTAAAACTGTACATAGTTTTAAGTCTCCCTATAGAATTGTAATTTACAAGACAAGACACGCTACAAACCATTTTTGAATATTTTCTGTTCAAAACCCACGAACTACGTTTGAGAAAAGAATAATACACTAGAGAGGCCGACATTTGCTTGGGAGCAAATACAGCATATTTCAGTCCATCTCCCTCCCACGCAAAAGTGGACTATTCCAAACTTACCCCAGTGTAAAACTGGCAAAGATTCTCAAATAAATGAATTGTATAGTAGCTATGTAATTGAGAACAAAGATGCAAGAACAAGCACATTGAATCTCGAAAGCTTTATCAATCTTATTACAGGTATGCAAATACTAACAATGATGAGATTTGATACATTTTGAAGGTCTTAGGCAGATAAAATTGAATGTGTGGGTCATTCCGCATGACTTACGTGCAATGTGACCTCAGGTAACCCGCAATGGAACACGTGTTCCATGGCCAACGGCAGATAGAACGTGCCATTCTTTAGATAGAACATGGAACGGGTATAGCACTTTTGGCCCTTTTTTGCTGAAAATAGCCATTAAAGTCCCCCAAATGAGTCATTTGAAAGTGGTGTATGCCAAATATGTGGCTGCTGTTCTGTAGACACATGTTCAAGGTACCCTTATACCGAATTTCAGATCATTTGGTTGTAAAACCAGGGCTCAGGATCCAAAAATCCATTTTTTGGCGAAAAATGCCCCAAAAAACCTTCATAAAAATTTTTCAAAGGCATGTATCAAAAAAATGAAAAAAACGCCTGGGGGTATTGGCCCACTCTACCTCCATGCCAAATTTCAAGTCATTTGGCTGAATGATGGCGGAGTTGAATCCCTCTGACTGTGTGGCAGGATGAGGAGAAGGAGAAGGAGGAGAAGAAGAAACATCAGAGAACACAATATATTTCATCCATACCATGGTATGGACTGAAATATAATCACAAAGTTGGGTTAATAAAATGTACAGTGGACATAAAAGGAAAATGGCTGTGATGTGATGTAATGTGAGTGAGAAGTTTCATCAAGCGCCTAATGATATCTGTTTCACGGCGTATAAAATACTAGCAGTCAATATGACCCTGGATAGAGCTGCTTTGGCACGTCTGAATAGACCCATTCGACTTTCACGGATCGCATAAACTGCATACGTCACAGGGGGGACATTTCGAATAGAATCTACGTCACAGGGGGGACATTTCGAAAGTTCCTTTCACGGATCGCATAAACTGCATACGTCACAGAACAAAATAAACTTACATTTTTGTACGGAATGCCACCATACAAAGTCGGTGCCTGTTTTCCTGTCATTTCCGAATATATTACCGAGAAAAAAAAGACACTTACCTACATTTTACTATTTTTAGTAAAAAAATGATCTGCCAGGGGGGACCTCGCGAGCGCAAGCCGCGTTCAACTTCAGCGTTCTAGAACGACGTTCTTTCGAAATGTCCCCCCTGTGACGTAAGCAGTTTATGCGGTCTGTGAAAGTCGAATGGGTCTATTACATTGCCATTTTACAATCATCAATATACAAACATCATTACAATACGTATATCAAAAACTTCATGAACCAGACGAGGGGGAGCAAGGGGCCAGATCCTGGCCTGTCTCTCAGCACCTAGGTACGTAGGCAGTAGGCATAATGTAGAGGCTAATTTTTCTTGATGCGCACCCAGAGCTGCTGTGGACGGCCCCGGAGCTGCTGAGGATGCCTTGCCCGCCGCTGAAGGGCACGCAGAAGGGAGACGTGTACAGCTTCGCCATCATCACACAGGAGGTCATCAGCAGGGGGCATCCGTACTGCGCCAACGACGCCACGCCCAGAGGTAATAATAATAATGGTTTATTGGTCTAAAATTACCCGTGCAATCACAGCCTTTTATAGCGCTGAATTGATGCAGGGTTTACAATCACGCACAATACACATGATGCATGTAACATATTTGCTCCACACATACTTTTGTGGAACTGTCGCAAGGGTCTGTGCGGCTGGCGCCGGCATTCGGCGCCACCAGGTGACCTCAATGAGACTCTAAAGTTTTCTTTGGCCCTATCGCATTAGGAGTCTGCGGAGGATGTCATCCACAAAATATACTTGCTGTGGGCTAATATTATAAAAAATTCAACATTTTTCAGACATCGTGGAGCGAGTGCGGATGGGGACTAACCCGCTTGTGCGGCCGGTGGTGGACGAGGAGGGGGCCAGTCAGGAGGTCTGCACACTCATGAAGCGCTGCTGGTCAGAGGCGCCGGAGGCCCGCCCTGACTTCAAGGCCATCAGGAAGATATTCCGGAAATGTAACAAAGGACGGTAAGGTCACAGGGCGTTATATGCCACTTCAGACACAGCGGTTCAGGCAACAGCGGGAGCGCAGTGTACAGAGATTCCCGACAGCGGGGCACAGATTTTTTGCCGACAACTTTAGAATTGTCGGCAGAAAATTTGACGAGCGGAACTACGCTGTCGGGAAGCGCTGAGGTAGGCGTTGACTTTACGTTTGAAGTTCGGAAGGTCCCTGTGGTATTCACAATGTCCTGTGGGAGACAGTTCCACAGCTTGACTGTAGCAGGGATGAATGTTCTTCTGTGGCAGGAGGATGACGACTTGACAGGTTCAAAGGCCGCACTGTGTTGGGATGTAGATAGGCGAGTGTATATTTTTTTGTACACAAACTCTCATTCACTATCGCATCTCTTTGTATAAAGTCCTGTCAGTGACAATGTGATGTTGGTAACTTTCCTTATTCAGAGACGCGAACGTGATGGACAACATGATCGTGATCATGGAGAAGTACGCGGCCAACCTGGAGTCGGTGGTGGCGGACAGGACCAAGCAACTGGTGGAGGAACAGAAGAAAACGGACAAGCTGCTGCACAGTATGCTGCCCAGGCGAGTACCAAGCACACTTTGTGTGAAACGTTGTATTACACACACACACACATATATATATATATATATATATATATATATATATATATATATATATATATATATATATATATATATATATATATATATATATATATATATATATATATATATATAT